TTTATTTTTAACATCTACGATTCCATGATGACTGGGAAAACTTGTGCCGAGGAAGATCATGTGATGTGATTAAAAACTCCAGAACAGCTTCTAATCAACCCTGTGGTGAGAATGTTTTGCCAAACTACAGAGGAAACAGAAAGACTCCAATTTGGGAGATATTGCCAGACACTATAGTTTTCTATTCTCCATCTCCCCAGCTGTTAAAGTAAAAAGAAATGGTACTGAAACATGACAAACCGTGGACCTACTTTATGTAAATAGGCTTATTTAGCTACTGTCAGCTCTGTAAAACATCGACATGGAGATACAGAATCTTTCAGTCCATGACTTGCTGAACGTTTTATTACCTGTGTGTGCATGAGGACCACCCAACAGTATCAAAGCTTACTAACTTACCTAATCTGTATTGAAATTTTTATTTTGCTCACCCACCCCTGCAACATCTTGACAGCAAAAATGACACATTTTATTGTGCAATATAATACAGTATTTATTCAAGTATAATCCTTTGTTATCTAAATTAATACATCAAAGACAATGATACACATAACAGATAGAAAGAGGAAAGGTATTTGAAAAGAAGATAATGTATTCCTCTTGTGCTTTGCCCTCTAACTGGCTGTACCAGAAGAATGGAAATCAAATCAGGATGTCAACGTTTTTTCTATTTTCTAAAACCATAATGTATGTACAGGTGCATGCACATGCAGTATTTCAATTAATACAAAACGTAGTAAAACTAGATATACAGAGTAATTCTTCAGTATAAATAGTATAAATAATATTCATTTGTATAAATAGCTCGATCTTCTTTAATGTTGGTCTGAGATGTTGAGACATTTGGTGTGAAGCCAACTTCATGTTCCAAATATATTCAAGCTCACAACACTGTAAACTGTCACACCAGCTGACCGGGGTGGTGACCACTACGGTGGTGAGCCGGCTCTGTGTGTAAAGAGGAGGTGTGGATGTTTTAGGATGATGTTGGAGCTTTTGGGATTGCTTCAGAAAGAAAGAGTTGCAGCAGAGTAATTCTCTGAAGGGGTCATCGCCCAGAGAAAACAGGACAGGCACTCTGGAAACGTGGTCGCAGACGTCGTACATTTTCCGCTGTCTCAGTTACGTCCTCACTTCTGCAGAATAAACTGGTCGATGAACTCGTTCTGCTCTGACTCCACTTTGGACAAGGCTTCATACTCAATGCGATATCTGAAACAAGGAAATGTAACAAAGCCAGCTGTAAGCAAGCAAAATAGCAAAAAAAGAAAAAAACAGTCGGTCACTTGCATGAAATGTGACCACGAGTGCTATGTAGTAAACACTGTAGAGCTGCGACTAACGATTATTTTCATTATCCATTAATCTGTTCATCATTTTCTTGATCAATCGATTAGTTGTTTGATCGGTTCATTCAGATGATTATACACTAATGAAAACATAGCTATGAATGTAATATTCCATTACTGACAATAAATCCTCCTAAATGTTACACACTGGACCTTTTAACACATACGATAAATAAAAAGTCAGTTGCTATTTCACTGACTAAAATGTAGATTTTATTTAACATTAAGGCCATGACAGACATGTAGTGACTTATCACAGTTTTCATTATTTACTGTTCCAAACCGACTTTCTTCACCAGAGAGCATTATGTAATGCAGACTACAGCACATGACTGTTCTATATTTTTATTAAATTGAACTGTCAAATGTCAGTTTGGTCGGGTTTGCATTTGTACTTCAACCAGATGGGAGTGGCAAGAGCTGGATGTTCCAACCATTTATCCATTACTTTCAGTGATCTAGTTCTAGTTTATCCATTACTTTTAGCTAACCAAAGCTGTGCTGTTGTGCCAGATATGGCACAGTGGCAAGAATGGGGAAACCTGCTTAAATAGAGTACACACAGCAGGTGTGAAGCTGAAACTATCACCTGATAATCAAATAGTGGCAGCTGCTGTGGTAACAGTTCTTGTCGAGATAAGTTTAAGTGGACTGGAAACAGGCAAGTATCACCTAGGGCAACATTATAAACATCTTAAACCACTGGCCGTTAGGGTTTACACAACCATCATTCAAGCCAAACTTTTAATTGACCTTTGGACAGCTTTTAATTGTTGGCTAAGACAGTATAATACTGTTACTGCTGTAATAGTGCTGTTGGTACATGTGGAACGAGCCATTAATTCAGCAGTGAAATGTACTTATTTTGTGTGCTGAATTTAAATGGACAGGAAACCATGACCTCCACCCTCGCACTTTTACCTCTCAAGCTGCATCTTCTTCTCGGCTATGAGAGCCTGAAGCTGCTGCTGCTGAGCCTCTCTTTGCTTTGCCACTGACTTCAGCAGGTTCCTGGCTCCAATTGCCTGATGGAGAAGAACACAGGATGATTACTGCAATACGGTGCTGCTCTTGTGATACTATACAGTATACCTGTGGCAACTAAGGTGGATGGGTTCAAGAGTTCAACCACATACAGGGGTTCCAAGCAGCTTTAGCATATTGACAACGTCCCCTGCAACAGCCAACTAAAAGCAGCTTCAAATGCCAAGCTTACCTTCATCTTTTCAGTCTCCGCTTCTTTTGCCAACTCATCCACAAGCTCAATTAGACCTCCCACTATCTTCTGAAACTGGCCAATTTCTGCAAAGGATAACACATATTTGTACATCCTGTTGGGGCTGTCGATGTTGGACTTAATGGACTTGACAAACTACCCAGTGCTTACTGTCCACAAATTCTTTACACTCCTCCTTGAGCTCTGAGGTCTTCTGGCTGACGTCAGGCTCCAGTACCCGTAGCTTGTTGAGCTCATCAAAATAAAAGCCTGCCTCGGCTAATGGGTCTTTAGCCATGGCCGCAGGGCCTGTCACAGAGGAGACAGAGAGGATGAGGGATGAAGAACAGAACAGAGAAAACTAACAGAGTTCAAATATAGCTTGCTACCCAGTGAGAAGAAAGGAGCAATGTCTGTTAGATAACTTTACACTGAAATCAACAGGCTTACAGCTTGATAACTTAATGCTGACAAGTGGTTTGCTATCAGACTATCACACTGCTGACAGTGTGTCTGTATCTGCAGTCTGCTGGCTGCTAATGTTAACATATGGCCAACTTGCTGATGCAAAATAAACATTTCATTGAACTCTGACCTCGATAGGAGGCCACCATATGGCAAGACGAGCCAGTGCTTCGTTATGACATGTACCTTTATTCAATAGAGCTTTAATAAAACGTAACATTAGCTAGTTAAGCGTTAGTGAGACACACAGCTATAACAGCTAACGTTAGGTGTCCTCTAAAGATATCTGCTTTATCTGAACATTAGCTAGCTTATCAAGTATGTTACCGTTAAGATAATGGCCTAACTTCACAAAATTAATATCACGGTAAACAGTAGTCTAAAAAGGTTGAAACAGCATCGAATAGTTAAAACGGTTCACATACTTGCAGGTGTTTTTCCCGTCTGACCTAAAATGACTTCAATTAACTCAGCTAGTAGCTAGTTAGCTAACGTTAGCTGCATTTCGCCAAAAGCTAGTTGGACAGCGACTTAAAGCACACACTACCCACGTTAAGGTTAATCAGGTTCCGCAGATAGCCAACGCTATATTAAACCATATCCAGCTACTGTAGAGACAGAAAGCTGTATATTTTACCTGTTCCAACCGCTATCGGAGTTACCGCAGATGGCTCTGTGTTGTGTGTCTATGTGGCACAGCAAGTAAACCATGAGCCAGAGCTCCTCCTCCGCCCGCTGCCAGGGAAACCGAATGCTGCGGCCCGTGTTTGTGTTTGTAGAGTACAGATAGCTCAGTTTCATTTGAGGGGCTTTTACTTTGAAAATAAACCGGAAACATTTTTACCGTAATAACGACTGCATAAAACTAAGCAAAACATTCAGATAGGCAGTCTGTAGTGGACAGTGTTGGGCTAGTTACTCAAAAATAAAAAATAAGAAATAAATATAAAAATATTATTACTGTATTATTAGTAGTAGTAATTAGTTACTGCTTAAGACTATTAGTGGACTTTATCAACTCAAAGCATGAAAAGACAACCTCCTTGCCCATAAACTCTACATACACTATGTGTCAGAACTTAGAAGCATGTAAGCTTCTGTGTTGTCTGTCCTTTTAATTCATATGATTTATAACCTAAACCAATGGTTTTCTTTATGTTATTTATAATAATCTTTTTATTAATGAAAATACTGGCAGGGTACAATTGTTCTGTTTTGATTTACATATTGTCTCATTTTGACTTACTGTAACTATTTTTCAACCCCTTTCACCCTTCTTTTTCGTTTTACATAAGTAAAACCTGCAACAGTTCTTTTTCCACCAGTGGTCTCTGTTCTACTCCAGCAGTGCCAGCAACATGATCCTGATAACTCAGTAAAGTTGCTTCTTGGAATGGACCTCTGTCCTGACCGTAGCTTTATTCCATTAATAGGCTCCATCGTAGGCCCGGGAGGAACCAAGTGAAAGATGCACCGATGCAAAAGGATACAAAAAGGTTCAAATTATTTTATTCTCTTAGAGTCTGCCCATCCCTTCTTGTGAATGAGGAATTTTCCCAAAATTAAAAGTAATGGTACAAAAAAATAACAGCCTTTTCCTTACCTTCCAAACATATATAAAAAAATAATCATAATGTTGCACTAAAATAGTCTGGTATACATATAGTGATAAAATAAATGACAGCCCGTTTCTTCTAGTTCACAGAAAATACAAGAATATTCAATATAAAATTTTAATGTTTTTGATTTTTTTTTCTGGATATATTAGATGCATGATAACCTCTTTAACTTTATTACTAAGACATTTCCCCCAGTAATCAATTCTGGCAATTCATTTTCTCCACAGAGTGAAGTCCAAAAGAAGCTCTCCTGGGGATAGAGTGATTCCCAATGTAACCCGCAATGCCTGTCACTGACTGGTGAGGGCAGCAGTATGTTTCGCAACGTACCGCCTGCTGTAAACTCATTGGAAGAAGAAGAAGAAGAAGGAGAGAGTTCAACTTTACATACTTTTTTTTTTTTTTTTTTTACAAATCAAATCTTTGATACTCTTGTGGATTTCTGTCTCGCGGCGATAAAGGCAAAGTGAACTAGCCATACGGTGTTCGGTTATCTGACAACACGTAACGACAGCACGGAGAGGTCGGTAAGTAAACGTCAAAGTCCGTAAACTGATGCCCCGCTACGTGTTGTTCACTGGTGGATGTAGCTGGGGACGATAACGTCACGTACTCCATTGAAAAATCTGGCAATTTAATGTGGCTTTTCTTTACACAGCTGAAGAACTTAAAGATTTTACGTTATAAAAAAAAGGCGGTTTTTGTTCAATACAAAAAGAACAACTCAGATTGTGATACATTTTCGACTTCTAGAATAGGCCAGTATGTCTGATTGTGCTGCATTCGTATTGAAAGTTTGGCCACCCTTTTCAACATTAGCTAGCAATTAGCAAAACACACCCACGCAGGAAGTAGCGGTAAGGTTAACAGAGTGACGCAAAGCGAATATAGCATAATTACAGTAATATTTTGTTGTAATACAGCACAGTGGTGGAGTGTCTATAAGACGAATTGACCAGAAGACCGTATATATTATCACTTACTAAAGTAGTGTTATACAGTGTTAGGGCTTTTGCCTACTAACAAGAACATATTAAAACGGGCATTTTTTTAAAGGGAGTTCGGTCTACATACGACCTAACAGCACACGAGAGCTAATTCCGAGCTTGTTGTTGACTCAGTAATAGTTAGCTAACTAAGATAGCTGTTAATTTAGGTAACAGCGAGTTCACTTACTATATTTAATGTGTTTGGTTATTTATTATTCACCGGTCAGGTCTCTTTCTATGGATACTTTATAGAGATTTGGCGTGTAGCTAAGAGTTTAAGACAAGCTATCAAAATAAAGCAGTTAGCAGACAGCTATTTAAAGTCATAACCCTAATCTTCGTTTGCTACCACTGCTGTACATCATATATTAACACAATTTAAGCATTTAATGTGGTACTCAACGCTGTCACACTCATTCTGTTAAACTGAGCTGTGGAAATCTGGTAGAGATTGCATCTGAAAAAATTATATTTCAAGATAAATGAGCTTCCTGCCGTTTTACTCATTGATATGTGCCCCCTCCCTGCCCCTCTAGTTTCTGCCCAGCCACATTCCATTTAATGGGAAGGGGAGCTGAGGAAAAGATAACAGTGGGGTAGGTGGCTTCCACTGTTGTGATACTCGCCTCCGGCCACTGGGCGTCCTGCTTTACCAGTTAAACAGTCTTTATCAGCGTTGACCTTTTCTGGGTAGCTCCATATGAATTTTTAGCTCCTGATGTGTTTTGCCAGGAATGATTTGGAGCAGTGAGAGGTTGTGGCGGCCTCATCAGTAGCTGTCACCACGGCGGGGGACCTTCGGACCTCCGTCTGCAGGGTGGTCATCTACCTCCAAAGGGACATGTCCGGGGACAGCTGCCTGCCCCAACATCACACCCAGTCCGACTGCACCTCGCCAACCCCTCCTCTGGCCTGTCCCAAGACCAAGACCTGCAGTTATCGAGGAGCGGTGGGCCTGGGCAACAAGTATGTCCGACTCAACGTGGGCGGGAACCTGTTTTACACCACACTGCAAGTGCTGACCAGGCAGAACTCCATGCTGAAAGCCATGTTCAGTGGAAAGAAGGAAGTGTTCACTGATAAAGAAGGTAAGCCGTCTCTGAACACCAATCTGTGAAACTAGCATTATTACCATCACAGGTTAAAATTCAACACAGCAACCTTTAACAGTGACTGTTCAGAGTGTCAGGACTGATGCCTGATGACTGTCTGTATACTGTAAACACTCTTCGCTGATACTTTCATGATATATTTTTGTAAATATGATTACAAATGTCTTATCCACCCCTACTGTAAAACACACTTGTTGCTCATCATGATCACAACAGTCTAACTAAGAATGATTGAGCTAATAGACCTTATTTCACAGCAGCTGTTTTGACATGAATTAGTAGGGTAAACACAGGTGTTACCAGTGGTACTAATTAAGGTTCTGTTCCATTCGGGTTGAACAGAGTCAGGGTGCTGCTATTGTGAATGTTGGCTCACTGGAAAGGCTTTGCTACACTAAATGGAACAGAACCAGTTACCTAATGTTTCTGTAGTGGTGACCAAACATCAGAAATATTCATATTATCAGTTTGAATTCAACTAAAAGCTCCCTGACCCAAACTTCTTTTAAGAAATCTCACATATTTACAATTCCTAACGTGTGTGTAACAACACGAGCTAAAGAGCATCATATAGCATCAAAATAACCCATAAAGGTAAACTGTACTCAGTACAAACATTTTATCAGCTCAGCGTGCTCAGCCTCTGTTCCAAAGAGTGAGGGAATGAGAGGCAGTCCAATTCAGTAATGAATATTTTTCGCTAAAATAAGTGCTGGTTGGCGGATCAGATAAACATGCCAAACGGAACAGACTCATAACACCTTTAATTCACTGTCTGTTATGTGTGTGTCAATATCTGAGGAGATTTTTCAGCTGTTATCAAAGTAACCGCCTAGTTCACTCTTTGCTGTCTGGTGCCGAAGAGAGAGGAGCTACCAGTGTCTGCTTTCATTGGCTGTAGCTCATTGCATGGCTCTCCCAGTTCTCTCCGACATGACCAGATATTTAACCTGCTAGATATTTGTCTGGCATTGGCGATGCATCGGCGAGCTCTTGTAAGGCCTGCGGGTCCTCCTCACAGGAGCGAGCGCGTGTGCCACCACAGTGTTTTTCACCAATGACTTAGATGTATGCATTTTCAACATGTTCTGTACTGTCCATTCAGGTTGGATCCTGATCGACCGCAATGGGAAACACTTTGGCAGTATCCTGTGCTACCTGCGTGACGGCACAGTCACCTTACCCAAAGGTCGTCAGGCTGTCCAGGAGCTGCTGGCTGAGGCAAAGTATTACCTCATCCAGGGCTTAGTGGAGCTTTGTCAAAACACCCTGCAGGTCAGTCACACAGACACTGAAACATGGAGAAAAGACTAAATACCAGACACTAGATAGTAAGAGATACATTTAGTTTAATCACACTAATTAAACATAAAATGAGTTCACTCAAAAAGAAAATAACTTTGTATGTGATCTTATTTCAGATCACAAGCATGCAGTGATTCCCTGAGAAATTCAGGCCATAAGTCACTTTATTGTAGTGCATTCATTTATTCGTAACATTCTTCAAAATAAGTATATAACAAAAGCAATACACTGCCAACTCAATGTAGGCAATACTTTGGCACAAATGAAACCTGTTTTGCAAGAAAATCTCTGCAGGCCTTAAAGGTCAGTGACAAAGAATACTTCCAAAGCACAGTGGACATTGGTGCAGCATTTCAAAACTAATTGGGAGATGAAAGCAAAACTTCAGTACACCCTTGATGTTAAGTGGCTCTTTTCAAATGAATAGTCCAAGGGAGTAAGGAGTTCCAGGAACCTAAATGAGGATCTAGATCAAGAGTTAAGGCCCTTTTGTGTATTTCGTAGCATTTCCACTGCATCTGAAGAAAAGTTTAAGATACAATATTTACCCATGATAAGACCACAACACAGTCAGTTCTTGTATTTTACTGCTGTGCAGCTGTTTGACATTTGAAAGGATGTTGGAATGGAGACACTGATCTGCTGAATATCATCATCAGTTCTGTTTTTAGTACTGGATGTAACTACTTTTCCTACTTTCCTACCTTCCTCACTTGTTCATAATCTTATTTTCCCCATTTCTTAAATTCTTATTTGTTCTATTGTCGGCTGATTAAGAAGTTGGTTACATAACTTTGTTCAAATGTCAACATCCAAAACAAAAACCCCATTACTTCCTGATACCTGTGACAGCCAGTGTTTACTTTTGTCTTTAGACTTGACTAATCAGTGATTGTCAGCATTTAAAACTATCAGGTAGTTCCTGAGCTCCTAAACAGGTTTGTGACATATGACAACATATTTTACAGTGAAAGGTTAGAGATTTTATCAACCAGTAAACATTTTCAGTTCTGTTATACAGTAGATATTCACAACTCTGGTTCTTTGAAGCCGTAGGTGGCAGTATCACAAATCGGTGACTGGAACTGCTTTCAGGCAGAGGGTTTACAGGATATTTTCCTCAGCGTGATGAAGTGCCATGCCAGGTATTTAATTCACTGGATTAGCTGAACAAAGATCATGTTTCATTCATGATTCACCAGACTTTGGTGATCTCTAATGTTTCCCTTTAATGCCACCAGGAGGTTAGCTGTTTCACTTATCCAGGTAAATATCTCAACAGCTATAAGATAGATGCAAACTGTGGTACAGACATTCACTCTTCCCTGACAATTTGTCCAAACAACTTAGATTCCCAGACTTTTCATTTGTTGTAGTGTTAATTAGCTAATGTTAGCATTAGGGTTGGGTACCAAACTTGGTACTTTTAAGGGTACTAACTGAATTACGTCGGTACTATCGATTCACGTTAAATCAATCGGCGCCAATTTTTGCTACCTGAGAGCGCACATGGGTGAGAGGTAGAGTATAGAGGGAAAGCGCCAAGCTTGTTCAAGTCGCAGTGTGTCAGGGCACACAGACTGTGAAATGCAAAATGTAAAGCTGGTCTGGGCAACACGTACAAGCTGAAGAAACAGCACAAGCTGAAAAGTGTACCATTGGGTTATCTTATCCCTGGTACCGGTATCAGTTCTAATGTGAACGATACCCAACAGTAGTTAGCATGCTAGCCTGCTAAGGTCAGATGTCTACTAAACATCAGCATGTTAGCATTGTCATTGTGAGCGTGTTAGTATGCTGATGTTAGCATTTAGCTCAAAGCCCAGCTGTGCCTAAATACAGCCTGACAGAGCTGCTGGCATGGCTTGAGTTATATAAAAAATGTTTTATTAGGCGATTGAACAAAAAATATATTTTATCACAAATAAAATACAATGTACAATGATAGATGAGTTCATCCATATTGTATCTAAGAATCCCTTCAGTCTACAGTTCATGGTTGTCAGTGCTTTGGTGTGTTTGCTGCAGTAGTGAGTTCTATTCACCTCTACAACAGAGCCTCTTGGTGCACATGTGATTTGCTGTGGACCATAGTGTGTCTCTAGGCTGTGGTAGCAGTACAGGTATGCATCACACTGACAGGTTCACAGGGATGTCTGCCAGGCTGACTAGGTTTACACATCCTTCGGTTTCCAGGACGACAGCAGAAACACGCTGAATTCTAAGCTCACCGACTGGAACTCGTTCTCCATCATGTCCAGTAGTTTATGAATGAACAGCACACCACCTGCCTGCTCTGACGTCCACTACATGCTCTGTGTAAGCAGCAGGCCGAGATTACACTATAACACCTCCTACCATATTATGCATCTCATGTTAACATCTGTGTGTAAGAGTTAGAGGTCCATATTGAAAAATATCTTATCTATATCAATACAATATTATGATATAATACTACGTTCCACCAACCTAGCTTGTCTCAAAATTCCATACCTGTCATAACTGTGTTGGAAATGCGTAGGTAGCAGGGTGAACCAAGCTGTACCAAGAGGTGTAATCTGCATTTGCCTGGTGTAAACCTACCTCACCAATGGATGCACATTTTGGTCATTTTGTGAGCAAAAATAATGATTAAAATCTGTTTATAGACTCATTTTAATGTGGCTTTTACCCATTTTAAAACATTGCACCTGGCCTTTAAGACACTATATCTATCCATGATACTTTTAACTCCCAGGGTTTGTTGGTTTGTGATTGACAGGGCAATAAGGAGCAACCCCTGTGTGTTATACCTGTGGTCACATCGAGTAAGGAAGAGGAGAGGCTCATCCAGTCTTCCAGCAAGGTAAATGCACACCATGGCTGGAATTTCTTTCTTTCTTATGAAACTGGAATTAGCGAAAATAGCATCTCCCCCAAGTTAGATCCTGTTCCTGTGCTATGTGGCAACCAGAAATATACAACTAAAACGGCATCAATATGCTCTTGATCCCCTTTTCATGGGATTTGTTTTAATAATTGAAAGGTATAATAACATTAGTCGTATCCTTTAATCTCATTTAGTAGCTATTCAAACATTTGCTTCTTCTTTCATGTGAAGGCACTTTCATAGGAGTATGAGTTTCCTCTCTCTCATAGTATTCCTGCCAAATGGATTATGTCTACTTGAAGTGAATTCATAGTTTGTGCCTTTTGATAGTGAAGCAATGATGTGATCAGTTTTCTTCCCTCTGTTAGCCTGTGGTGAAGCTGGTGTACAACAGAAGCAATAACAAGTACTCCTACACCAGGTAAGGAAGCCTTCCTCCAGAGGCCCGACTGCCTTCGTCATTACAAAGATAATTGATTATTTCTTCCTCAGAGTGCATGCTGAGGGAAGCACTGATTTTTCGAGCTAATAAAGTAATGAGCTACAGGCCACAGAGTGGAGTAAATGATGAAGCACTTCTTCTCCACATCAGCTTGCTTTTGTCTCGATAGCAACTCGGACGACAACCTGCTGAAGAACATAGAGCTGTTCGACAGGCTGTCTCTCAGCTTCAACGGCCGCGTCCTCTTCATCAAAGATGTGATTGGGGACGAGATCTGCTGCTGGTCCTTTTATGGTCAGGGTCGGAAGCTGGCTGAGGTCTGCTGCACCTCCATCGTCTACGCCACAGAGAAGAAGCAGACCAAGGTGAGGATGAGTTAGGCCGCGTTCAGACCGACTTCAGCAGTAGATAGAACACGATGAAAGGTCATTAAAGGTATCAATACTCCTTGGTAGTCACAGTTATTTGATCCAAAGTCTGACTAAAAACTAAAACTAGGACAGAGTAGCTACTAAAAGTCTGTATTGTTCTATATTAACTTCTGACACAACCTTTGACACACACACACACACACACACACACACGGTGTGGAAGGTGTGTACAGTGCCGTGCAAAAGTATTCACCCCCCTTGGCATTTTTCGTGTTTTGTTGCCTCACAACCTGGA